TAAAAATCTTACACCTGAGGACAGTGGCCGGGGGTAAGGTAAGGGCATGGGGTGGGGTGGGAACCAAGGGGAACTATGGGGGAAAAAAGAGGAACAACTGTAATAATCTGAACAATAAAGATGTATTAATTAAAAAAGATAAATGAAAAAATTAAGATAAGGCTATACAGCAGAATTAATGAAATTAGAATAATATCAGGAAAATATTCTGCATTTTCAGGCCAGTTTTTCATGTCAGTTTCACTTATATTTTCAATATACACACACAATAATTTAATTAAATTTAGTGTAATACTCACTTGTCCAGAAAGTTGAAATCTCAAGGTATGTTTCATATGAGGCTCTGTCAGGGGGTGACATTCAACATCCCAAAACTGGGCATAATCCCCTTTATCTCTAGGCAAAAATGTAACGGAGACCTATAAAACAATACATCCAGGAGAGAAGTTTAGACACTGAACCTTACACACATGTAGTTAAATTACCAACTCAAAGTGTTGGCATGAAAAATTAAAGGGAAAAAACTTACATTGGCTAGTTTTTCCCCTAATTAAAAAAGAATTTGAACAATTGTGCTTTTAGTAGGCTTGTTACTGTACCAGATCCAAAATATATTTTTCTTTAAGGTTTTATGTAACATATTCCTAAAAATGTAAATTTTCTTAATTAAAAAAAAGTCATCAAAAATTCTATGTGAGTCCTGAGCATGTGCTGTACCTATTGGGCCACCTGCATACATTTCCACCCATTCTGGGACAGCAGCCTTGGTACATGGGTGTCCCTAATGAACTATGAGGAGTGACCCTGTCAGTAACATTGTGCCCCTCCCTTTTTCCCAGGCCCTCAATCTGCTAGTCCCAAAGCCTTGAACTAAATGCAAGTGGATACAGAAAGCCTTCTCCTGGCACATTAGGGCAGCAGGACAAGGGCTGCCCAGTGTGTCCAAGCAGAGTTGAGCAGACCCTGCCTGCCCTGCCTAATGCTGAAACCAGGGGGAGCTGGAGATGCCCGGGGGTCTCCTTAGGTGGGGGTTGTTGGAGGTACAAGTGGGGAGGGATCTTGCTGGGGCCGGCCTTGGTGTCCACCCTACCCTGTGCAGTATTTATTGCTAAATTATTGTCTACCATACCACTAAGCATGGCCAGGCCCTGGTCATTAATGCTGCACACAGTGTATGCTTATGCTATATAAGGTTTCCTTTATTTTGTATGTGATCGATAAATACCTTTTAAAGAGAAAAAATTTTAGAGATGTACATCTAATTCCAGACACACACTGTGTTCACTGCAATGCTTATACCCGCTGCTGGCCTAGTGGTAAAGGGCTAAGCCCAGCACACAGTCACTGACTGGAGAGGAATGAAAGGACACAGAAAATGCAAAGGAAAGGTAGGTGCATGACAGGAGGTAGAAAAGACAAGCACCACTATGCTACATACTAGCAGCTTTTCTTATGATTAACTTCAGAATATCCACTGACCATTTACACTGACCGTAGAACTCAAAGTTATAGATACAAACTGTATGCATACAATCTGTAAAAAGCTCAATACTGAGAAAGTTGTAATATTTTAAAATGGTGTTTGATAAAGTTTACCAGCATTAACAACAAACTTTATCAAAGAATTCAGTGTGAAAAATACTGACTACTAGTCAGGGTGACAATGAATCAGTATTTGAGTCTGAACTTAACATTAAAACACTTACGTGACCTAATTTCTGTCACTATAGAACATAAGTGACAATGCGGCCAGCAAGCCTGAGAGCATGGAGGCAAAGGCAGATACTGATCGAAATGAGGTCAAGATTAGTGAGTTATACTGTTAAAGATGCTTTGGACATTTAGAAGATTAAGAAAGAAGACAACCATGTCCTAAATGATGAAAATATACAAACTATCAGGAACTACAGGGGGGCAGTACCATGAATTAGACAAATCCTACTTACACCTCCTTCCAACACTAAAAAAATAGAGAGAGAAAACCTAATATTATTGCATGTCACACAGTGGGAACATAACAGGCACTTTAACATTCATTAGCTCAAAAAATTGTCTGATGCTTCAAAAAATTACTGTGTGCATCTTTTAAGAATTAGGTTGTAACTAATATTTCCCTCTTCTGGAACACTATTATATACAACAATAATTGTGCTATTTGGTAATGCTTCCATAAACGGTCCCAGAATGATGTGCCTTGTTCCCCTGGCCCCACCTTAAATTAAGAAGCCAGACCTAAAATTCATTGACAAATGTGATCTGACAAGATGATATGTGTTGCTCTGGGCCAGGATATACAGTATGAACACAACAAAAATCACGGAGGTTACATTTCTATGTTAAGTATTGTGTGAAAAATTCCTGGGAGACAATCTAATTCTGTACCCTCATTTTTCTTTTTTTACAGTTTTACTGAGATACAAATCCACATACCATACAATTCTCCGGTTTCAACAGGTTTTAAGTGTATCTCCAGAACTGTGTAGCCATCACCATGAAGCTATTGTCTAGATTAGCGCTACTTGAAGTAGGTTCTAAGTACTAGCAGCCTGCAGCCATATGAAGTGTTTATATCAGAATGTACATCAATCCCACGACCAAGCGTGGCATTTGTTTTGCTGTTAGGGAGCAAGACTTGCTGCTGCAGGAAGCAATCCACTAACTTGTGTAAGCCTCTCCTCCTGTGGCGGCCTGGCTGTGAGCAGCACTGGTCTAGGTGAAGCCAACGGCTCTGCTGGAAACACAGGAGACACTCCTGGCCACACCTAGCTGGCTGTAAAACCATGTCAACACTCACCTTTTGGGTGCCATGGCTTTCCATTATTCCCGAAATAGGAGAACATCTGAATGCTGCATAAGTAGCTCTAAAAACATCTCCGCTTTCATCGACTGCCTACAAAGTAATCATTTAAACAAGCACATGAAAAAAAATGTAAGAAAGGCCACGGTGTTCTAAACAACACACACGACAACACTCAATTCCAGCATGGCCCACTGGCAGAGATCACTTGCAGTATACAGTAGGCTAACACTCAGTGGCAAAGACCATTAAATTCTGCCTCCTGCACTAGCTCCCACTGGTGGCAAACACACAATGGTACGCAGAACTTGGGAGAGAAAAGTGTGCGTGCACGAGCACACACACTCTGTTCCATTCTATGACAAAATTTTTCTTATTTTCATACTAAAGTTATTTCAGATAAAAATCAGAGCTGTAGGAGATAGCATTAAATGGAGCAAGTACATTTTTCACATACATTCTCTAATTTGATTCTCAAAACCACCTTGCAAAAAAGACAGGGGCAGGTATTAGCCCAACCTGTAGAGAAAATCAAGTAAATGAATTAGGAACAGAAAGCCAATAATCTCAACCTATATTCATCATTCAACCTTTGAAACACCCTCCCTAAAGTTCAAACAGTAAGACAAGTGTAACAGCAGCAATGATTACTGACCTTGACATAAGGTGGAGCTAAAGATGACAGATACCACTTTACTTCTGTGTTACCATGATTCTGAAGTTCCAAATAATTTTCTAAAAGGAACACATGTACAACAACTCAGTCTTTTGGAGAGGTAAGTAAATAAGCAGATTATTGTGATAATTACTATGACTGCCTCATCACAGAGAAAAATATAATCATTAGATCCCTAGAGAAGCCCTACAGGAACTGCAGTACTTTCTAACAAAATCATGTTTGACAGTATCTTAACTTGGATTTAATCAAAGTGCAATGCCAAGCTACTGAACAGCTTAATTTTAAGCAAGAGAGCAATAAAGTTATTTCCATGATTAAGAAATGACTGGCTGCAGTGGAGGAGAGACGGCAAGAGTCAGAGTGAAAGAAGGAGCCCTGGTCAGCTGTCACTGCAGCATGCGGTCGAGATGATGCATGAGTAACTTGAACTGCAGCAACGAGAGGAAAAGCAGTGAACAGATATGGGATTTATTTTGAAGACAGACTGTAAAGGACTAGCTCATGGACTGGATAGGAGGGAGGGAAGGAAAGGAAAGGATAGCAGCTTCCACCCGGCCGGCATGGCTCAGTGATTGAGCATCAACCAATCAATCAGGAGGTCACGGTTCAATTCCCGGTCAGGGCACATGCCCGGTTGTGGGCTCAATTCCCAGTGTGGGGCATGCAGGAGACAGCCAATCAATAATTCTCTCTCATCATTGATATTTCTTTTTTAAAAAATATATTTTATTGATTTTTTACAAAGAGGGAGAGATAGAGTTTGAAACATTGATGAGAGAGAAACATCAATCAGCTGCCTCCTGCACACCTCCCACCGGGGATGTACCCGCAACCAAGATACATGCCCTTGACCGGAACCAAACCCGGGACCCCTCAGTCCGCAGGCCGACGCTCTATCCACTGAGCCAAACTGGTCAGGACTCATCATTGATATTTCTATCCTCTCTCCCTTTCTCTCTAAAATCAATAAAAATATATTTAAAAAGAAAAGAAAACAACTTCCAGGAATCTGGCTCAGCAAAATGAGCAAAGAGTGGTGCCATTACTGATGATGAAGCAGAAGCAGGGTGAGGCTGAAGCAGAAGCAGGTTTCGTGGGTGAAATAAGAGCTGTTTTTGTGACCCACATGCAGAAGCTGAGCAGGTGCCTGGTATGTACACCTGGGGCCCAGGGAGAGCGGAGAAGAAAGGGGGCACAGGCAGGTCCAGGAAGAGTTGTCAGCAGTGGAACCTGAGAAAGTGTGTGCGAGGCAGGGACAAACCAAGAGAGCTTCCAAGGAGGAAGTATTCCACGGAGGAAAGAGAGGTTGACAGTACTGAGAGGTCAAATTAACAGTCACATGCAGAGACCCTGGATTTGACCTGGATAGGAGTGGGTTCAGGGCATGATGGTAGCGCATCTAAACCACCTGAGGAAGTGAAGGCGGGAACATCATCATTCCTCTAGGAAAGGGTGCTGAGGAAGCAGGCAGCTGCACAAGGCTGCAGAGGGCACTTCTTAAATAGGTGCAAGTAGAGCGCATTGTGTGCTAGTGGAAATCTATCAGCAAAGATGAGAAAACTGATGACACAGGAGAGAGATGGAGCTGAAGGAAGTCCCTGAGGAGGCAAGAACAGATATGGACCTAGATTTCAAGCAAAAGGGTTCATCTGTGATGGAAACAGAAGCCTTTCATTTAGCTTCATGGCTTCTATATTTTCAATGATCTGTGAGGCAAAGTCAAGAGTTAGAAAGAGTGAGAGCAGGAATAGGGGAGGATAGCGGGAGTAGGACTTTAAGAAAGGAGCTGTTGCCCGGCTGGCGTGGCTCAGTGGTTGAGGGTCAACTTATGAACCAGGAGGTCAAGGTTTGATTCCCAGTGGGGCGCATGCCTGGGTTACAGGCTCAGTCCCCACTGTGGGACGTGCAAGAGGCAGCCGATCAATGATTCTCTCATCACTGATGTTTCTATCTCTCTCTCTCCCTTCATCTCTGAAATCAATAAAAATATTTTTTTAAAAAAAGAAAGGAGCTGTTAAATACTGTTAGAGATGTGAAGGACACATACTAAGGAGGGCTGGGAAAGAGCCTAGTGTTGTTGATCTGAGAGTTGAGCTCATGAATCAGTCAGCATGTCATTTTCTCCAGCAATGTTCTGCTGCTAAGGTATGAACATGGAGTAGGTAAACAATCGGTTTTAACATGGGTTAGGATTTTGCCAGACAGGAATGTGGGGGGAGAGGGGCACAAGGAAGTTAAGAATGTGAAGCAGTAATTACAATGATAGACCACAGAATTCAGGAGGGTTATCAGAGAAGCGGGATGTGAGTAGGGTGATGGAGGGTGGAAAGGCAGTAGGATCAGTAGCCTGGAGGTCTGAATGAGGTCAAAGAACTGCTGTAATTCCTAGAGTAAGTGAGCTGGAAAGACAGGAGTGTGATGTTCAGGAAGTGACAAGCTTGAAACTGAGAGAGAAAATATGGCAAAATCTAAGAGGGGACTGAAAGTAGGAAACTGAGCTTAAGTGGAAGACAAAATCAATGAAAGAGACCAGGAGCTAAGTGACAGATGGTCCCAAATTCTTTCTAATAGGTCCCACGTATAATCCTAGTCCTTCAAACTGAAGAGAGAAAGAAAGAGAGAGAGAGGCACAGACACACACACACACTAACTCTCAAAGTGACATCAGTGACAGAGCAAGGCTCTACCCACTTTCCTCTCTTCTTCAGATAACTTATTTGCAACTAGAGACCCAGTGCACGAATTTGTGCACCATTGGGGTCCCTTGGCCTGGCCTGTGGGATTGGGCTGAAACCAGCTATCCGACATCCCCCAAGGGGTCCCGGACTGTGAGAGGGCACAGGCCAGGCTGAGGGACCCCACCAGTGCACAATCGGGGTTGGGGAGGGAAGCAGGAGGTTGGCCAGCTGGGGAGGGACCACAGGATGGCTCCAGGGCGTGTCCAGCCTTTCTCACTCAGTCGCGATCGGCCAGATGCCAGCAGCAAGCTATCCTACCAGTCAGAGCGTCTGTCCTCTGGTGATCAGTGCACGTCATAGAGAGCAGTTGGGCGGCCTTAGCATATCATTAGCATATTATTGATTGGTTGAACAGACAACTGGACAATTAGCGTATCAGGCTTTTACTATATAGGATTCTAGTAAAAAATCTAGTGAGAATTGGAAAAGAATGGTTCTGACCATATAAAATCAAATAAAGTCAGCATGTAGTTTTCTCCAGCAGTGTAAGACTCTTGGAATACACAGATTTATTAAATGCCTTATAGTTACGATTTTTAAGCTCCTCCAAATCCATCTCATCATTGAAATGATTTCCAATAATTACGTGATTTTGTCCTGAAGGGGGTAAAATTTTGTACCTATCACTAACATATGGTTAACTAAGAGTACTACACGCACTCAATATGTCAGTAGACATTTGAATTAAATAATCTTGTGATACCATACCTGAAGTTTCACCAGGTTCTGTTGTAGGAAAAGTAACAGTCTTATTTCTTATCTCAACTTTTGTGGAACGTGGCTTTGTCATTGGTTTTACAAGATGTCTAGTTAAAGGCTCAGTAACTGGAAAAGGGGTTCCCAATGGGTTGGAGGCCAAACGAGTGAGAAGTTCTGCTTGAGCCAGGTCTTCTCGAATTTGAACTTTCACAATTTTCTGAAATGAGCCAAATAAAGGAATAAGACACAAATGTAGCTGCAACTTTTCAAAAATATATATATATTATTGAATTTTTACACAGAGGAAGGGAGAGGGATAGAGAGTTAGAAACATCGATGAGAGAGAAACATCGATCAGCTGCGTCCTGCACACTCCTCACTGGGATGTGCCCGCAACAAGGTACATGCCCTTGACTGGAATCGAACCTGGGACCCTTGAGTCCATAGGCCGACACTATATCCACTGAGCCAAACTGGCCAGGGCGATAGCTGCAACTTTTAAAGAAACAACTCTTATTTTTAAGTCATGGTAGAGAAAAGTAGTACCATACGAAATACTTGATGAATTTATAAATTAAAATTTATTCAGATCAAAATAAATCTTTGACTTTATCCCCTGTCCCTGAACTCCCCGTTTTTCAAAGCAAATTTTATAAACTAATAATGGCTTCTAGGCCCCACTCTCCATTCCTGCCCCACCCAGGGAAATCATTCTGATCACTAATGGAAAATCTCTGCACTAAACATTCTATTTGAATAAATCTAGTTGGGCTGAAAGAGCAGACACCTTCATATTACTTCTGAAATATAAGTGCTAATAAGAATTACAACACTTAAGATACAACCCAAGTTAAGAGAAATGTTGCTCAAAAAAACAACAAAAAAACGTTAACAAGTACCTTCTGTCCATTGTCACAGTGAATATAGATCAAACCACTCCATGGGAACATTGATTGTTTTGTGGATGAGGAGGAATTAGGGCTCACAAGAATCTGTAGCTTACTCCTTAAGAAAAGAATGTCATAATGAAAACCAAGAATATCCTACACTTTAATAGCAAGAACAAGAGTTATAAATACTATCCTATCAATAACCAACTATTTCCTTATTGCTTAGAAAGAGCAGATAACAGAGGTGAGCTCCCATGCACATCTGATTTTGCATCAGCTCCAACTCTGTGACTCACAAAAAGTTAAGTAGCATGAAACCCTGAACCTAAAGGCAAACTCCCATGAAAACAGACCATACCATAGAAATACCATTTAAAAAGCAATTCAAAATTAAAATATCTAGAGAAAAGAACATATCTACAGCAAAAAACCAATACGACAAATTAGTTAATGTCATATTAATTAGTAAATGTTTAGTTGACTGCTTTGGTCCGAGGAATATTTCTCTGAAGTGTCCCTGACCATACCTCACCTCAGGTCTTAGTCAAGTAAATGCATACTCCATCATTTTGCAAAGTCAATCAACTTCATGTTGTTGTTCCGCAAAGTTGCTATTGCTAAATATGAAGCAACTATCAGATGTGAAGGTTCTGTGCTGACCCAAACACGGTCCCTAAAAAGCTACGGAGCTGTGATAGGCTTTAGCTTCTCCTATCAATAATTAAGCTGCAAATAGAGGGTAGCTGCTTATCAACATTAGGCCCTCAAAGACTTCCTTCTATAGGTAAGATTTGGAAACAGCCTAAGTGTTCATCAGCAGATGAGTGGATTAGAAAACTGTGGTACATCTACACAATGGAATACTATTCTGCGGTAAAAAAAAAAAAAAAAAAAAAGGAACTCTTGCCTTTTGCAACAGTGTGGATGGAACTGGAGAGCATTATGCTAAGTGAAATAAGCCAGTCAGAGAAAGATAAATACCACATGATCTCACTCATTTGTGGATTATAGAGAACAACATAGACTGATGAAAAGGGGCAGATTCAAAGACTGAGAAACAGCGATCAGGCTATCAATCCCCAGAAGGAAAGTAGCGGAGGGCAGGGGTAAGGGTAAGAGATCAACCAAAGGACTTCTATACATGCTTCCTTCTATCTCAGAATAGTCTTTGCAGAAAATGGCAAGGTAGGTTTGTGGGTCTGACATATTAAGTCAGAAAAAGCTTTGTCTATAAAATGCCCTTCAGACAAAACCAGCAGAATAAGTGAGTGAAATCCAAGGTAATGAAAGGCATTAGAAACCATCACCCCTCATCATAGCCCTAACTGTATCTGTTGCTTTGTAATTTTGTAGCCAGAGTAATATGCCAGGAAACATTCTCACGTCTTCCTTTCCTACCTCTCACGTCTTTCTTGACCTTTAGGCTGTATACCATATTTGGCTACAGGCATGATCTTTATTGCACTAAGTAGCATGAGTCTTGAACCCACTGTAAGTCCCACAGAACTACACATGGCACACTGTACAGAGTCAGCACATGGCAAAATTCTACTAATAAATTAAAACAGCGTATTATTTGATCCTTAAAAGATTACCATGCCAGCATATGAATAACATACCCAGAGAAAAGAGACGGCATACTTACTCTGGCTCAATAAATCCATGTTGTGGTGTGACCGTAAGGCAATGTGCCGGCCAGTACAGTTCAAATTTCAGTAACCTAACAGAATTATTTAAAATCTGGAAACGTCCAGTTTTTGCCAGGTCACCTATTATATCAGATAAATAAATGTTACTTTCATTTAGCATTAGTGAATAAGACACAGTTAATAAACAGTAAAAATAAATCCTAAATAAGTACACTAGTAAACCAGCTTATTGTGCTTTCTCAATTGCCCAGTTACAGGAATTTCAAATTCCTGTTGAAACAAGGCCATCTGTTTACTCTTGGAAACGACAAAGATACTGAACAAAGTTCAAATACTGAAGGGAGAGAGAAAAGGAAATCCGGAAATTGTTATTACCACCTGGTCTTATCTTGGGCACATACATAGGTACCAGATTTGTTCCTACTTTACCAACTATATCACTGTTAAGGCTAGAAGAGGCCAAGTGCCAAATGATTTCCTTGGGGCAGAAGATGTGGTGGAAGGAAGATGGGTCCTAAGTGGCTCTGCCATACGGGGAAATGGGAACTTGGACTGAGGGCCATGGCCTTTGTCAGGATGATGCTGTGGTCAAGTCTGAGCTGGGTCTCTAGTAGGTGAGAGGAAGACCTATAAAAGCCACTGGCTACATGTGCATAAAGTCCACGTATATATCCTAGATGAGCCAGGGGTGCAAAGTAAGCACCGCAGGGTTTCAGAGGACATTCCTGTCATGTTGTCGCTGACATACTCACACGCAGAAGGGGCTACCAAAATCAAGTGTTCAGGGTGGACAGTCCACATTTCTTCAGAGGATGATTTCTCCTGAGGTGTGTGAACAACTTGTGAAAGTGGAGAACTTTGAGGACCTTTAACTGGTAAAACATCCAAAGAAACATTGCCACCATGTTTCCCAAGACTGTCAGATTCACTACAAAAAAAAGAAATAAAAATCAAAAGTGATAAAAAGCCAGATCATGTCACGTTTCTATATTAATTCTGCATAAATTTCAAAACATTTAGATAAAACTGAAAGTGCGTTACATACTGTGTATTTTTCAGGGAGTTAAGATCCTTCATATTGTGTATACTTAAAGTAATGTATAAAAAATACAGAAGAGGTCAAATACTATTATACTAGTTTTTACTAAGATTACTCAGTGATTTAATTTCTTTCCTGCTTTGACTTCTGCATGCCATTTAAGGTCTCTTACAAGGATTTACTAGAAAATTAACCAATATTAAGAATTTTTTTCTAAAAATTAAACTCTTAATGTATCTCTGTTTTCATGATGCTAACACCAAACACTTTAAAATAAGAAAGTCTTTTGGGAAAAATACCACAGTAAAAAATGCTAATAAAATTTAACAAGTTTTTAAGTGTTGAAGCAGTGTATTCAAATAAGCCTTAGATTACAAAAAAAGTAATTCAAAATAAATTTTGTAATCACAAAAGCACATGGATTAATTGAAGTTCAACTGTGCAGAAGCCAAATTCTCCTACTCTACAGTGGAACATCTTTTTTTTCTTTTTAAAAATATATTTTTATTGATTTCAGAGAAGAAAGGAGAGGGAGAGAGAGATAGAAACATCAATGACGAGAGAGAATCATTGACTGGCTGCCTCCTGCACGCCCCTGACTGGGGATTGAGCCCACAACCCGGGCATGTGCCCTTGACCGGAATCAAACCCGGGACCTTTCAGTCCCCAGGCTGACACGCTATGCACTGAGCCAAACCAGCCAGGGCGACAGTGGAACATCTTTACGTTGACACTCAGCACTGAGAAATTTGCTTTACCCTTGCCCATTGTCCTCTCACCCCCCTTTTCAAAGCAGGCCTCTACGGCCCCAGGGAAACAGAGGCACCTGCCAAACGTCAGGAATAATTTTAAGAAATAAAAATGTTTATTCTTGGCTTTTTAGCTTCCTAAGAACCAGTACCAGATAATAAGTGATTTTCAAGGTAATTTTTCATATATGTAGTTATATTTAATTCGTTCTTTGACTCAGTATCTTAGAAGAAAATTAACATTGTAAGTATAGGGGAAAGAAAGAAGGCTGGCTGAACTAGAGGCATTGGGTGATGAAGGTGAGTGCGTGTGTCAGCAGTGAACTTAGTGGCACTGGGACTTGCAGGGAACTCTCAGGCAAACACACTGGGCCTAGGAGGCAGCCCATGTGATAAGAAGATTGGTTAAAAACAGAAGCATTGAGTAAAATGAAAATATATTGAGGCTAACAGGGCCAGGATTCTCAGTGTTGGAGAAAAAATATACAATTAGAGAAAAGAAAAAAGAAATACACTGTATTTTGTTAGATTAGAATTGGAGGTATCAGTATATACTCATAGTTTTAACATATTAACAGACATGGATACATGTGGATTTATATATAGAGGCCGAGTGCACACTCGGGGGGGTCCCTCAGCCCGGCTTGTGCCCTTTCGCAGTCTCGGACCCCTCGGGGGATGTCCACTTGCCAGCAGGGAGCAGGCCTAAGCTGCAGTCGGACATCCTTAGTGCTGCTGAGAAGATGGGAGAGGCTTCCGCCACCACCGCTGTGCTGGCAGCCGTCCGCCTGGCTTGTGGCTGGGCAGAGCTCCCCATGTGGGAGCGCACTGACCACCAGGGGCAGCTCCTGCATTGAACATCTGCCCCCAGGTGGTCAGTGTGTGTCATAGTGACCAGTCATTCCCAGTCTTTCTGCTGGTAGGGTCAATTTGCAGATTATCCTTTTATTATATAGGATAGAGGCCTGGTGCATGGGTGAGGGCTAGCTGGTTTGCCCTGAAGGGTGTCCCAGATCAGGGTGGGGGTCCCACTGGGGTACCTGGCCAGCCTGGGTGAGGGGCTAATGGCTGTTTGCAGGCTGACAAAGCCTCCCAGCGGGAACCCTCACCCCATGTGGGTATGGCCAATCTGGATGAGGGGCTGAGGGCTGTTTTCAGGCTGGCCACACCGCCTTCAGGGTGGAGGTCCCCACTGGGGTGCCTGGCCAGCCTGGGTGAGGGGCTGGTGGCTGTTTGCAGGCTGGCCACCAC